ACCCCACGAAGCCGGGTCCCTCCCCAGCCGCACCCCCCTCTACCCCACGAAGCCGGGGTCCCTACCTTGCCATCAGAAGCGGTGTTGATCCTGTAGTGGTACACCCTGCCTTCATATCTCAGCGAGATGGACCTCTGGCCAGGACTGCTCTCGCTCTCCCGCACCAGGAAGCTGCCGTTGATCCCGCTGCTCAGCAGGTACTCGGCGGCGTTGCGGGACACGGGCCCGTGGTACCAGGAGTGCTTCTCCAGGCTGTTGACCGGCGTGATGTAGTTGCTCGGGACCCAACCTTGGCCATTTTTGGTTTGGGCTTCACACCACTCGCCATTGTGATTGTAGCCTAAGACCCGGAGCTTTTCACCTTAGGAGAAAAGAAGCGCATCAGACAAACCCACCCTAGAGAACACCTCCACTCGTCCAGTCTAGTCCCCGCCACCTCCCTACACACCCGGGCACCTGGACAAGCCCACAGAAACACGAGCGCTCCCACGTGTGTGAGAGCACACGTTCACACGCAGGTGGACGCGGCCCCCAGCACCCCGCCACGTTACCTTTAGTTATGCTTAGAGTGTTATCTCCACTGGCCACAAAATCATACAGTGCAACGAACAGGTTGGGGTCATTTTCACTGGGCCCAGCGAGGAGGTTTTCCTTGGAGTTCCAGCGAGCAGCCTCGCTCAGACCCGGGGGCTCGAAGTCAGACGCTACTGGCCTCTGAAGGGCTTCTGGAAGCGAAACGGGAGCAACAAACAGACAGCAAGAGGAAGAACGTTAGTTCTGTTCTCAGTAGTAAAAAGAAATGTCTGTGCCTCCCACACCACACACTCCTAATTTATTTCATTTTTTAACAAGTGCACGCACTATGAATTAGCAAGAAAGCTTTTTTTTTTTTTAAAGGAAAGAACTCTACCAAATCTTGTGAACAACACTAGGTATTTTTTTTTTTTTTACAGGCAAAGTTAGACAGTGAGAGAGAGAGAGAGAAAGGCCTTCCTTCCGTTGGTTCACCCCCCAGATGACCACTATGGCTGGTGCACTGCGCTGATCCGAAGCCAGGAGCCAGGTGCTTCCTCCTGGTCTCCCATGCGGCTGCAGGGTCCAAGCACTTGGGCCATCCTCCACTGCCTTCCCGGGCCACAGCAGAGAGCTGGCCTGGAAGAGGAGCAGCCGGGACAGAATCTGGGGTGCCGGCGCCGCAGGCGGAGGATTAGCCTAGTGAGCCGCGGCGCCGGCCAGCCAACACCAGGTATTTTCATTCCAAGGTGGTAACTGTTGTTCCCAAACAGTTTCAGCTTTTTACATTCATCAACACGGGTTTTCTCACACCATCCTCAGATGGTCTTTGCTACTGCTCAAAACACAGAGTGAAAGCTTCCTGCTTTAAACTGTTTTCAAGTCTATCAGCGCAATGCACACACATCATTTAACAGTGCAGAAGGGCTCAGAAGAGAGACATCTGCTGTCCCCCTCTTCTCCACCCCCAGAGACAACAGCTGGTTTAGCTTTTTTTTTTTTTTAAGAATCTTGGCAGTTGTAGTTTTCTTTTAAAAAGGTTTTTATTTGAGAGGCAGGGACAGAGAGAGAGAGGGAACAGGCTCCATCCACTGGTTCACTCCCCAGATACCCACAAGGCTGGGGGCAGGGCCAGGCCGAAGCCAAGAACCGGGGGAACTCAACTCCGAGTCTCCCACATAGGTGGGTGGGAATGCATTGACCTGAGCCATCGCCACTGCTTCCTAAGGTCTGCATCAGCAGGAGGCCGGAGCAGGAGCGGAGCGGAGCACCCCGCCGAACTCAGGCCCTGGGATACGCGACGCGGGCCTCCTAGCTGCGAGGCTGAACACTTGTCCCAACAGCTGTGTTTTGACGGCTGTACCTGGCTAAGCAAACGCTGCATCACTGACGCGCCTCTGCTGTCTCCCTTGGGTGCTGCTCCTACCCAGCAAGAGACAGCGTCTCCCCGAGACGTCCAGGACAACGAACGCCCTACCCTTCCTTCCAGCTTCCCTCCAGGCCCACTGAGACATGGCCATCTTCACACTGTTCTTTTCACCTGGTGAGCATTTGTAAGAGGCTCTTCTGTTCTGAAACAATGGGGTCTTTCGTGTTTCGTCTATAACAGACTGGAGAATTTGGAAGTCAATCAACAGCTTATTTCAGGACTGTGTGATGCTCCTCACTAGAGTTCACTCGTTGCTTCTTGTCTTCCTGCTTTTCGGAAACTGTGCCCAACCCTTCTAGAGCTTCTCTGTGATAATGACAAGATGCGGCGGCTTCTTCCCAACCAGCACAGCTACTCCAGGCGGCCCTTGCAGGTGATGTGTCCAATACTCGACCAGGGAAATTAACAAACCAAATTTACACAAAAAGGGGGTGGGGCGGGGTGGGGTGGAGACCTTCACAAGGAAAGACAGACCTCCCATTCGCTTGAGCTGAATGCAAATGGCAACAAAAGAAAACCACGTTTTGAGACTGGTGTTGTGGCATCCCAAATTGGAGTGCTGGTGAGAGTCTCAGCTGCTCAGCTTCCACTCCAGCTTCCTGCTGCTGTGCCTGGAAAGGGAGCAGAAGATGGCCCAAGCGCTTGTCACCTGTCACCCATGTGGGAGACCTCGATGGAGTTCTGAGCGCCTGGCTTTGGCCTGGCCCCAAACCTGGCTGTTGTGGCCATTTGGGAAGTGAACCAGAGGATGGGAATCTCTTTCTTTCTGTCTCCCTCTCTCTCATTCTTTCTTTTTATTAATAAAGATTTATTTATTTATTTGAAAGGCACGGTTACAGAGTGAGGGAGAGACAGAGAGAAGTCTTCCATCTGCTGGTTCATTCCCCAAATGC